CTAAAAATGGCATCAGTCCAGCAAGTGTACTTGCAGGTTTTACTGTTTGGTTGCGTTCTAACTGATTTAATTCTTCTTTTAGTTCTGACTGTTGTATGTACTTCACTATATGCCTGAGTGACAGCTCCAGTTCCATAGGGCTTAGAGCCATAGTGATATTGCTTAAATTGGTTCGCCTTGCCCGATTTACAAATCGCAGCATATATCCCACCGTATGTAGTAGAGTTCTAAATGAATTCCTGTGATTGATTCTATCGATCCAATGGATATCGTAATCAGTTGAGATTAAGGCCACTTCCCTTGTCGTTTGTTTCCATTCAGGATTCACCGGATCAATACAGAGAGTTTTATTGAATTCGCCAGGCCAGTTGCTTTCGGAACCATGAAGAAAGAGTGGACCGTATAACCACAAGTTATTTTCGAGTAATTGAGCTGGCTTGATACCCCGTGATAATGAGTCAGCTGGGTTGTCCTTAGATCTTACGTGACGCCATTGATTAGGCAAGCTAATTTCCTGAATTGCATTGATTCTATTTGCTATGAATTGTTGATGCCTTGCTGATGAAGAATTGATCCAGAAGAGAACGATTTCTGAATCAGTCCAATAATATGTTGCTACATCATGATTTATATTGTTCTTAACCTTTTTCATCAATGTCGCTCCTAATAGAGCTGAACACAGTTCTAACCTTGGAATCGTTTGTTTTTTGAGTGGAGCAACACGAGACTTGGAACACAACAATCGATTTATTAGTCGACCATCCATTAGTTTCGCTCGAACATAGACTGCGGCTCCGTATGCCTTTTGTGAAGCATCACAAAATACGTGCAATTGTATTGATTCAAGTGCTGGCATCTGTTTTCCGAATATATGACGATCTATTTTAAATTGCTCTAGTACTTGTAGATCGTCATAAAAGGTAGTCCACCTAGTGTATATTTCGGTTGGTACTGCTTCGTCCCATGTTAATTGTAGTTGCCATAGGTCCTGAATTAGTATTTTTGCTGTTACGAGTACTGGACCTAGTAGTCCCAATGGGTCGAAAATTTTGGCTAGGTTCGAAGTAATGGTTCTTTTAGTAATGATTTTTAGTGGATCCAGTTTTAATTTTATGCGAAATTGATCTTCTTTTGGTTGCCAAGTCAATCCTAATGTTTTGATTGATGTTGCGTCGTCACTTTGAAAGTCCAAATCAACTTCTTGATCTTCTTTTGCAATATTTTGAAGAAGTGACGGATGGTTGGCACACCATTTACTTAGCTTGAATCCTGCTGATTCCAACAAACCTTTTAACTGAGTTTGTATATCTTTGGCAGTTTGGAGACTATTTGATCCACTTAGGCAATCATCTACGTAGAAGTCATTACTTAGTGCTGCTGCACCTAGTGGATATTTTTGCAACTCAGATTTCGCCAACTGTTGTAAGCATTTAGTAGCCAGATATGGGGCTGATCGTGTTCCATAGGTGACTGTTTTTAATCGATAAAATTGTAAGGGTTCGTTAATATTGCTTCTCCAGACTATTAATTGATATCTTTGATCTTCGGGCTGAATAATAATTTGTCTGTACATTTTTTGAATGTCAGAACAAAAGACAAATCTTGGGCACCTGAATCGAAGTAAAATCGCAAACAATTCCTCTTGAATTGTAGGGCCAGTAAACATTGTATCATTTAACGATAGTCCACTACTCGTCTTGCACGATGCATCAAATACCACTCTTAATTTCGTGGTGCTGCTATCGGGCCGTAAAACGCCATGATGTGGGATGACATAATGAGGATTAACTTGGTTGATGTCAACCCTTTCCATGTGTCCGAGATCAGCATATTCATTCATGAACTGTACATACTGTGTTTTGAGTATTACATCCTTATCGAGTCTTCTTTCCAACGCTAAAAACCTGTTAATGGCAATGTGTTTTGACTCACCAAGCAACGATGGATCTTGCTTGAAGGGTAATCTGACACTGAATTGACCGTCTTGATTCCTTTTCATATAAGTTGCAAAATGAGACTCGCACAACTCTTCGGAAGGAGACAGATTTTTGTTTGCCTTTTCTGGTTCATCTAGTTGCCAGAACCGCTCGATAACCTTCATCGTATCTTGCTCATCTTCAGAGCATATTCCACAAACTTGTGGTGAAATAATTGAATTTTGGTTAGATATTTTTCCCACCACAAGCCACCCAAGCAATGTGTTCTGTAGGATGGGGAGACCTCTGCCAAGGTTTATTTGGCCGATGGACAATAGTTGATGAGAAAACTCAGCTCCAAGTAGGAGATCGATTTTGTTTGGGGTATTGAACGACGGATCTGCCAGATTGATGTTCTGTGGTATTTTCCAGCTTGAGCTTTCAATATGAATGCTCGGCTGGTCACACACAATCTTAGGTAATACATAAGCCTCTATTCGGCTGCTAAATCCGTTAATTCTGGACGAGAAAGCTAAATTGATTCGTTGTTGCGCATCTTGTTTTTTTTGCCCCACACCTTCTGCAGTAAAAGCAAAATTGATCTTACAGCGCTGAGGACCTAGGATAAGTGAATAATTAAAAACACTGAATGTCAAATATTTCATAGATATTACCTCGAATCCTCACGACTGGTTCGCAAACAGGTCTTTTGGTTTGTCGGTCTCACTTTCGTTTGCAATGAATTTTAATTATAATAGAATTTTAATTATTATTTAGGAAAAAAAGAAACTAGCACTCAAACACATTTATGGAACAAATCAAAACAAAAAAACCTGCAATATGAGAAATGTCATTTTAATTTGTTTTGTTATAATTTTCGTTTGATCGCCAAAAGTTGCAGTGAGTAATAAGAGAAGCTGAGAATGCAGCGTAAACATTGCAAGGTAAGAGAATCAATAACAAAATAATGGAAAGCTTTCGTGAGTCTCGAAGTAGAAGACATTAATTAAGTGCATTGACCGTGAAACGGCGGATTAAAAAAGTATGAGTTAAGCAGTTAGAAAAAAAGCAAATAAAAGGGGCATTCGAAGGATCTTCGGTCTTCTTGGTTGAGTTTTCGTGAACGGAACGGGCAGAATGTATGACAGAGTTTAACTTCAGTGATCCGCAAAGAAATACATAAGAAAAAAAGTAAAAAAAAATATATATGAAACTCTTATCGGAAACGGTGTGAAGTTGTTAATATATAAATTTATACTCTGGAACAGTGTTTTATACCATAACTATCAAGTATTTTAAATAAAAAAAAATTATATATTTCAATAATCTCTATCCAATGAACGTTTTTTTTTTAATACCAATAAATCAAGTATCGAATGCATTGAATGTGATAAAATTCAAACTGATACCTGGAACAGCAACGGTGACGGCAACAGTAGCAGTGACGCGAGCGTTAACAACAATAAGGCATAAATTGCCAGAATAGCAATAATAACTAAATAAATTACTTAAATGAAGTGTTTAAAGAAGTTCAAATATATTACTAACTAAATTATAAATACGAAACTAAACAATAGAAAAGAGTTAACATCTAATAATTTTTATATTTCAATAATATATATCCAATGAACGTTTTTTTTTATCAATAAATCAAGTATCGAATGCATTAAATGTAACAAAAATCAAAACTGACACCTGGGACAGCAACGGCGACGGCAACAGTAGCAGTGGCGCGAACGTTAACAACAATAAGGCATCAATTGCCAGAATAGCAAGAATAACTAAATGAATACTGTTACATATTACATTAATTATTTATTTACTTAGTTTTTTTTTTTGAAAGTACTCCGAGTTAAGTTTCTTTTATATAATAATTAAGATATCCATGAAATTTAAATATAATTAATTGAAGCATGTTTTGTTTTAGCTTTTTGAAGTATTAATTAATTTTCTAAGAATATCCATGATAGATAAATATAATTATTTGAAATATGTTAAATCGTGTAATGTATTTTTTTTTATAATTATTTGTAATTTAATTTGGCCTATTAAATTTTTGGTTGTTGAGTTTTTTTGTACTGAACCCTGGTATACGCTGAGTATACCCCGGCCGCGGTAGAGGCCGGAAAGGTCGTTACAAATGGCGCCCGAGCAGGGACACACTTTCAAGCTAATGTGACCACAGAATAAAACTAGAATCAAGACGAAGAAAAAAAATAAGTGCACCATGTCGATCATTGCTTCATCGTATGGTCAAATCATAGACCAGATATGTGAATGGCCTGTAAGGTACAACGGAGAGAGGGATCCATTAGAGTTTGTAAAAAGAATCGAAGAACTAGCCGACCTCAATCACATCGATATGAATCTAGTTGTCAGCACGATGCCCGTACTGCTTGAAGATAAAGGTCTGTTGTGGTACCGCAACAACAATAAGCGTTGGAATCTCTGGTCAAGCTTCAAGGCAGACTTTTTTAAATTTTTCCGTCCACATAGATATTTTGAAAGAATGGAAGAACTTCGTACAGAGCAAGTTAAAACAAGTCGAAGTCAGGTACAGGAAGCGAACAGCAATCGCCTGATAATTGAGCATCCAGAAACGATGCCATTACTAAATACCACCAAATGCGTACCAACTACAGAAACAGGGAAGAACGTTACTTACAGTGTGAATCTGAAGCCATATGGGCTACAAAATAAGAAAAGTTACCAGCAACAAAATAATTCTAAAGTTAAGCAAACAACAACACAAATAGATAGCATTACAACGTTAAAGACACCACTACTATCCAAGTCGAGCATGATACCAAGCATGCAAAGTCAAACTTACCCAGCGCGACACTCAGTAACACCGCTAGAAAATATACAAGAGCAAACCTCAAGTAAATACCTCGTAGTACCATTGCAACATCCCAGACCTATCGAAGAGTTACAAATTCCAACACAAGAAGTACAACATCTGCGTTGTTCGAAACTCATCAAAGAAAATTCAAAAGTACAACCACAGCAAGGACTACAAACCGTTACGCCAGTCGAAGAAAACCCTCATGTGCAAGATGCACAAACACAACAGTTTAAAGAAAAACCACTGATTACATCATTGACCGAATTAAAGGCACAAGTTGTAACACGAGAAGTACAACCACAACCCGTCGAAGAAAGTCCGCTGGTGCTAGACACACAACCGCAACGGGATCCTCATTTCCACGAAGAACAACCGATCACACCATCGAGCGAATCACAGATAAGAGATATTCCAGTACAACAAGATCGACAGAAGATTACAGTCGTCATTACAAAAACAAGCCAGGTTCAACTGAAGCAAGCAGCACCAAGTTCTCCAGCATCACCAGGTCCTCAACGAATCTCGCTCATTCACGCCCTTCAACTAAAACAACTATCACAACAAGAGAAAGATCGTTCTATGCAGCCGGAAGAAATGTTGAATAATCCTCTAACACAAGCACGATGTCTCAGAATTCGAAATTCATCCAGCATTCAAAATCTGCCGAAACCAATTGATAATGTGGAGTTGATTCAGCAAAAAGGTGGTGTTCATTATAGCAAACGCCAAGACGAATTTTTCAAAGTATTTAAGTGTCCCAAGAAACGAAAAAGGAACTGTGCAAGCAGATAGGAATTTAGTTTTTTTCGCTTACCGAAAATAAGGAGGGAATGTAAGGATCAATTTTGCAGTAAAAGCAAAATTGATCTTACAGCGCTGAGGACCTAGGATAAGTGAATAATTAAAAACACTGAATGTCAAATATTTCATAGATATTACCTCGAATCCTCACGACTGGTTCGCAAACAGGTCTTTTGGTTTGTCGGTCTCACTTTCGTTTGCAATGAATTTTAATTATAATAGAATTTTAATTATTATTTAGGAAAAAAAGAAACTAGCACTCAAACATATTTATGGAACAAATCAAAACAAAAAAACCTGCAATATGAGAAATGTCATTTTAATTTGTTTTGTTATAATTTTCGTTTGATCGCCAAAAGTTGCAGTGAGTAATAAGAGAAGCTGAGAATGCAGCGTAAACATTGCAAGGTAAGAGAATCAATAACAAAATAATGGAAAGCTTTCGTGAGTCTCGAAGTAGAAGACATTAATTAAGTGCATTGACCGTGAAACGGCGGATTAAAAAAGTATGAGTTAAGCAGTTAGAAAAAAAAGCAAATAAAAGGGGCATTCGAAGGATCTTCGGTCTTCTTGGTTGAGTTTTCGTGAACGGAACGGGCAGAATGTATGACAGAGTTTAACTTCAGTGATCCGCAAAGAAATACATAAGAAAAAAAGTAAAAAAAAATATATATGAAACTCTTATCGGAAACGGTGTGAAGTTGTTAATATATAAATTTATACTCTGGAACAGTGTTTTATACCATAACTATCAAGTATTTTAAATAAAAAAAAATTATATATTTCAATAATCTCTATCCAATGAACGTTTTTTTTTAATACCAATAAATCAAGTATCGAATGCATTGAATGTGATAAAATTCAAACTGATACCTGGAACAGCAACGGTGACGGCAACAGTAGCAGTGACGCGAGCGTTAACAACAATAAGGCATAAATTGCCAGAATAGCAATAATAACTAAATAAATTACTTAAATGAAGTGTTTAAAGAAGTTCAAATATATTACTAACTAAATTATAAATACGAAACTAAACAATAGAAAAGAGTTAACATCTAATAATTTTTATATTTCAATAATATATATCCAATGAACGTTTTTTTTTATCAATAAATCAAGTATCGAATGCATTAAATGTAACAAAAATCAAAACTGACACCTGGGACAGCAACGGCGACGGCAACAGTAGCAGTGGCGCGAACGTTAACAACAATAAGGCATCAATTGCCAGAATAGCAAGAATAACTAAATGAATACTGTTACATATTACATTAATTATTTATTTACTTAGTTTTTTTTTTGAAAGTACTCCGAGTTAAGTTTCTTTTATATAATAATTAAGATATCCATGAAATTTAAATATAATTAATTGAAGCATGTTTTGTTTTAGCTTTTTGAAGTATTAATTAATTTTCTAAGAATATCCATGATAGATAAATATAATTATTTGAAATATGTTAAATCGTGTAATGTATTTTTTTTTATAATTATTTGTAATTTAATTTGGCCTATTAAATTTTTGGTTGTTGAGTTTTTTTG